ACAGTAAACACTCTTGGACAGCCACTATATGCAAAACAGGAGCCAAGAAGGTTTGATAGAGGGACAGATTTACATACGCAGTCAAATCCTCTACCAGTATGTCACAGTCCTGGAATACTAGTCAAACTCGTAGCATAAAACTGCCCTTGTCTCTTTTAGTTGGTCCTTAAATTTACTATATAAAGATATGATATGCAATAAAAATATAAAAAGGTTATTTAAAGATTGTTTTGCACATTTGGGACAACAAGCTTTGTATGAGTCAAAGGATAAGTCATACATGGTACAGATACTAGAACGACAGCCAGATAGATTATACGAGATTGGTGAAGGGCAATTTGTGGGGGAGATGTTAATTTTAGAGGTGAGTGTCTTTGATGTATTGCAACCAATGGTAGGAGATATTTTCGTTGTTGGTAACCGTAGATACAAAGTACACACACCGCCACTTAGGGACAATTCGGGAATGATTTGGAAAATTCAAGCTTCAGGGGTGTAGATGCGTATTAACATCGAAGTTACCGGTAGCATCATGCAAAGTATAGATGCTGAAAGAAGAAAAATAGAATTAGCAACAGTGAGAGCATTAAACAAAACAGCGCTATGGGTAAGATCGCAAACTATCAAACAAGTAAGCGAAGAAAAACAAATACCAAAAAAAGCAATGAGAAAAAAGTTAAGTGTGGATAAAGCAAATAGAAAGCGCTTATGGTCGGTAGTGAAGCTGAGTTCCCAGTGGATAGGAGTAGCAAAACTTGGAAATATAAAGCAGACAAAGATAGGAGCAAAAGTAGGAAGCCGTACGTATGAAGAAGCATTTATAGCAACAATGAAAAATGGTCATATAGGAATATTCAGAAGAAGGTATACCACGCCTTTGCCAATAGATGAAATTAAAATAAACACCCATGCTCGGGAAACAATGAAAGAGTTAGCTGAAAATGAAGCAGAAAGAGTATTTGAGAAGTATTTCGACCATGAACTTAATTTTATTTTAAGAGGATCATAACGTATGTTTTGGAGAGATCTACATCAGAAGATTTGTAAAACGCTAAAAGAAGAAATCCCAGCAATACAGACATGTGAAGTGTATCCAACAATAAGAAAAGAATTATTAGCTCCAGCGGTATTTGTAGAGCTTGTGAGTTTAGAACCGGGAAAAGATCCAGGGACGGAGGAATTAGCACTTAGAGCAAGATTTGAGGCAAGAGTGGTAGTTGATAGAATAGTGGAAGATTCTCAGGTAGTGGTAAGATCACTGGCAGCGGAAGTTGCGAGAGTAGTGAATAAAAATACTTGGGGAGTGGAAAATGTTTCACCGGGAGAGTTTTTATCAGCGGAAGTAGACGATTTTAAGCCGGAGCTAGATGCATATCTAGTGTGGTTAGTGGAGTGGATTCATGAAGTCCATGTAGGCAAGTCAGTGTGGTCAGAAACTGATATTGTGCCGCATACAATCAGTGTAGGGAGCGAAAATGTTAGACCATAATTTTGCAATTTCAGAGCTAAATAGGAAGTTAGCGAATATTATTCGTATTGGGCTTATTAAAGAAGTAGATTATGAAAAGGCAAGAGCAAGGATAAAGGTAGGAGAATTTTTAACGGATTGGCTTCCGTGGGTAACGGCAAGAGCAGGAGAAGATAGAAGTTGGTTTGCGCCGAATATTGATGAGCAAGTAATAGTATTATCGCCATTTGGGGAATTGTCTTTAGGAGTGGTATTACCGGCAATTTATCAGGAAAAATATCCGCCTCCAGAGAATAAAAAGGAAATAAGTAGTGTAGTATTTAAAGATGGAACAAAGTTATTGTACGACAAGGAAAAGCATCATTTTGAAGTTGACATAGTAGATAAAATAACATTGCAAGTTGGGAAGTCTAGCATAGAAATGACAAAGGACGGAATAAAACTTAAGGCACAAAGAATAAATCTAAACTGATATATGGCTAAAGCAGTCGTTTGTATAGGAGATCATTGTACGGGAATACCGGTTCATATTTGTATGAGTGGAAGTAGCGATGTGTTTGTTAATGGTAGATCTGTTTGTCGAAAAGGAGATATCTTAACTCTGGGGGAGACACTAACGCAAGGGTCAAACAGCGTATTCGTGAATGGTCTTGGTGTAGCAAGAACTGGAGATATGGTTTCGTGTGGGTTTAAAGTGGTAGGCAGAAGTAGAAATGTTTTTGTAGGCTAAAAATGAGGGGGATGAGCAATAAAACAGGGAAAG